CTTGCGAATGGTATCCACGGTCACTGGCAGCGAGTCGCGCACGAAATTCCCGCACAAGAGTCCGCTAGCTTATCCTCCAGCTGTGGATGAACGGCACTTCGTCCACGAAGCAACATTTTTCGAGGATTGCACATCTGCAGCTTCCCTTTTTGCGCCCTCTAATAGCGCACACTTTTTTCCGATACACCAAAGCTGCGCTGAGCAGCCCTATTCCCGTTCGCTTCTGCGAACTGCAACCTTTATTTAAGGGGGGAGGTGGCATTGGAAAAAAACTTTATTTATTGACGTACAGTAATGAAATTTGGCATGCATACTCGTGTCTCGAATAGGGAAATATGCAGTTTCACAATGATACCTTCAGTAGTTTACATGGTGCCAATCACATGGTCTGCTCGTGGAAAATCTAGCGCTGTAACAAAACATGCCAGGAAGCTGCGAATAGTGTTGATCTTTACTCAAAAGAAAGCTACATAGTATGGCACTCTCAGAATTCTTTCAATAAGTTCTCGTCTTTTTTTAGAGATCATCATGGCTGCCGACACACATTGTCAGAAACAGTGGCACGAACAAATCATCGTCTAGAAAAAAAAAAACAGGGGCTCTAAAACAGAAATTGATGATTGCTGTACCCACAAGCAGTGTTCAGATTTATGAAAAAAAGAAAAAAAACTGAATCAAAATCGGTCCAGTCATTCTCGTGGCTACTCTTTCTACGAGCAATGCACACTGTCCAAAACACACAAGTTTTCAACAGGCTTTTTTTTTTTCGATAAACTTTTTTGTTTCTCGTTAAATATTGATGAATATTGGCACAGACACTAAGAATGACCTCACAGTGCTTTCATAAAAATTTTGAAGTGATACCACTAATAATTTACCAGAGACAAATTATTTCTTCATTGAACCATGTGGAGGGGTTGAGCATATATCAAAAAAAGAACAGTATCAAGAAAGCTCCACTTAAAGTTTCAACTTTTCTTTACGTCTCTTAGACACCTAAAAATTGTGATCTCAGGTTTGTATTGTGATATTTGACTTCTCAGGCATCTGGTCTTTGACCAGTGTTCCTTGGTTGCCTTTTTTTTCCCCATAACTTCTTTTTCAATGATTTACAAAGAACAAGTATGGATTTCAAACAAAGTTCTTTGTATGAAGGAGTGGTGGGATAGGCATGACAGAAAAGATTGTAATTGAATAAGACCATATACTGAAATGATTACACACATTTCTTGTGCTGAACGTGTAATTAGCGTAATGAAGTGCTTTATTACAAATAATCGCTTAACATTTCTTTATTTGGAGAGAGGTTTATTGCATCAGAAAAATGGATCACACCTTGACGGCCTATGCCTTCTTTTCAAATAACAAAGTTAAGGGCAGAAGACTGGTGGCAAAGGAATTTTTAGCAGTGTAATGAATGACGCGAAACGGGCATATAAAAATTCGTGCCCCTGATTCTTACATGCTCTTTTGCCGCTCTAGCGGTGAAATGCATCATCATACAGCCGGTCGCGGAAACAATCTACAGCAATTCATTAACCTCGGAACATTCATAGACGTTCGTGGCGATATCAAGCACGGCTCCAAGCACGTCTGAATCGCATCACAAAAGCTTATTGACAGCACTCCATATGACGGTGGGGTGCGCCGCCGCGAGGACATTGCAGCCGGCGCGTAATGCACTTGCCGGCGGCGTTCGGTGACGATGCACGAAATGTGTAACAACGATGACAAAAACTTGGCATCGCATTTCCGAATGACGACGCGCGAACCTGCTAGCTGCTGTTCCGAGCAATCCTTGGCAGTGAGGGGGTGATGAGCTTGACTGTGTTGTCCGCTGCCGATGCGTAAAATGCCGTACGTGATTCAGAGAAGGTAGCGAGTGATGTGGTACATTCCTTGCCACGTTGCCAAGAGTGCGCTTGCGCGTCGTTCGTGCCCGCAGTTTCGCTGTCAGCAGAGTTAGGGCTAAAGCCGACTCGGATGATGCGCCACACTCGTAGACCGCGCGTCCGCTCGTAGTGATCTGATTGTGCATCCGGTGCGGCCACTCGTAGTAATCAGATCGTGCCGCCGCTTACAGCTTCGTTGCTTGCGAAGAAGCACGTCGCCGCGCTAGCGCGTCGTTCCTGCCCGCCGTCTCACTGCCGGTGGAGTTAGGGCTAAAGAAGACTCCCATAACGCGCGGCGCTCGTAAACCTCGCGCCTGCTCGTAGTAACACAATCGCGCATGCGCTTACTGATAGTAACTAAAGGGTAATTATGTCTTAAGTGATCATCAAGCCGTGAACACGTCACAAAGTAGCGATTTTCGGGAGCCATGTTCTCGCGATGCACAAGCAGCAGACGACGATTTCCCGGAGCGAGCATCGGGCCAATAGCAAGGCGAGCCGAGGCAACATGGTGGCCACGGCCAATCAAGGGCCTCGAAACGACCTTCAAACTATGAAGCGTGGAAGCTTGTGCAAGTTGGTAGGACATAACTGAATGCAGGAACAGCGCAACCTAGAAGTAGTTACTTCGTAACTACATCCTGCACCCTTCTACACCCTTCTATGCATGCCCATTTTTCTCATTTTCCGCCTATATATGTACACCACTCCGATATTAAATCTTTGTTGAAAGTCGGCGCTCTTTTCGCTACTTCTAGGTTGCACTGTTCCTGCATTCAGTTATGACCTTCAAACATTTGCTTTTTCTGTGCTTGTTGTAAAAGGGAGGAGCCAGCTAAAGCGGGAAAGTTAAACACGGAGAAATGCTCTTTCCGATGAGCCCAAGAAGCCGGCTCCTGGCCTAAGCATCGCGAAGCTATAATTTTTTGAAAATCGCTGTTTTATCACCGTTTCCAGGAAAAGTTTTGCTGCCTAGGTGGTTGAAATGAATTTTCCAAAGCACTTCTGGGTGGTTTTCAGTGTAGATATTTTGGAACCAGATAGAAAAAGGGTTCCAAAAGCTTAAAACTTGAGTTTCCAAAAAATCTATTTTTTCGCCATTTTTCGCGATCCCAAAGCCACGTCCCCCTTTAAACGCAGCTGAGTACTGCCTGCTCGCACCGCTACTCATATTAAGTGAACAAAAAAAAAAAAAGACCCCTAAAAATGCAGGGCGATGTCAAGCGGAGTGAAAACTCTGAACAGATCGGAAGCAAATCACGAACACAAAGGAAACTGACTGCGAGAAAAAAAAAAAAAAACTGCCTGTGATTGGATATCGCCGCGTCCATCTTCTCAAACACATGCAAGCCACATGTTGCCAGACGTTGGCGCACTTTCGGCTAGACACCGCTATATAAGACGAGGGGCGACTTTAGGTTATTATTTTATTGAAGATATCTCGACGACTTATATTCCGGTTTATACGGTACTGGCAAATGTTCAACATACCATTGCTTCTGTTTAAACGACTTAAAATTGTTCATTTTTATTGCACTGTACGCAGTTCTGATTCCAGATTATGGTGATATGCAGATTTACTTTGTAACTCATTCAATTAAAAAAAAACTTCAAAAGGCACGTGAAATATTACGTATTTTAAATACTCTCCATACTGCATGTTTTCAGTGAGCAAAGAAATACCGTATTTACAATATGCACACTGTCAAAATAGCTGCACCACCAGTTTGGTTGCAAGAATTCAGATTTTTTTCTATTTTGCCCATAATAGTGCGGTGATCGGTAGTTCTGTACCGTAATTGCACAGTTGCAATTTGGCGCCATTTTACAATAGCTGGAGAAAGAACACAAAAACGTGTCATCGGTGCCTAGGCTCTTTGAGTGGTGAAAAAGAGGCTGCCTGGGCGTCTGTCACTTTATTGGGTATATATGTGACTTTAAATGTGGGAGTGTCAGTCAGCGCCACCTGTAGCCTTGGCTGCGAGTGTGGCACACTCTTGATGAGCCTGTGTGGCGTCACGTAGCACGTAAACTTATTACCAGCGGGCAGCTGACCAACAGTCCCTCGTATACAACCTAAAGGCACCAAGTCTGCCAGTACGAGACCCTCGCAATGAATAAGGGAAAGAGGTGTATACTTAAGGGCTCGTTTTTCAGTGTTTTGACACAATATTGAGATCTAACAGACAATAATGCCAAGGAAAGTATAGGGGAAGTTATTAGATCAAATTGTAATGTAATTGTGAATAAAAGTGGGTGAAAAGATAACTTGCCCTGGGCAGGAACCGAACCTGCGACCTTCGTATAACGCGTTCAATGCTCTACACTGAGCTACCACGGCTGCTATCCTCCCAGCCACTTTATTGGGTGTATATATGTGACTTTAAACGTTGGAGTGTCAGTCGGTGCCACCTGTAGCCATGGCGGCGGGCGGCGCTATATACATATATATTTATATATGTATGAGTGACGGCGATGCTGGCTGGCGAAATCCAGCCGAATGTGTCCATATAATTGTATCGCAATAAAACATTCTAGAGCAGTGTCCCCCTTTAGCAGATTTTTTATGAAAGCAGATTTTTTATGAAAGGCAAGTTCCAGTTTAAGAGGTACAATTGAACAGTTTTATAATGGGCATGCTCTGGGCAGCAATTGTCTTTTGTACTAGATGTCTCTTATTAGCATGGTACTTTGCAAGCATTTTCTTATCAGCCTGTATTTCATCGTTGGCACACTGGTGTTTCTTATAAAGGGGCTCGACTTTTACTGCCTGCAGTCCTCACTTCTGTCTACTAAGCATCTGAAATGTATGGAATAATGTCTGAAATGTACACTACTAGAAAGCAGATGACAAACTTTAACCTTTTACGAAGCTGTGCATGTTTTGGTCTTAGGCTGGAATGTCAAATGTGCTTTCATCAACAAAGGTGCGTTTTCATTGAGAGCGTATGGATCTTTGTTGTAGCACTGTGTTCATAGTTGGTGCATGACATTCCCTTCAATGTAATTCAAGCCACGAGTTCAATGTTCAAATGTCATTCTTTCAACTATTGCGGGCTGCACTTCAGTTGTTCGTGGCTAACTGAGGCGCGCATTGTTTGCTTGCAGTGGCAGCGGTGGGGGTGGCGGGGGCGGCGGCTACGGTGGTGGCGGCGGCTACCGCAGTGGCTATAGGGACCGTTCGCCATCCCCCTACTACAGCCGGGGGCGGCGCTACTCGCGCTCTCGGTCTCGGTCGTACTCCCCTCGGAGGTACGCATACTACTGAGCAAGCGCACACACACACACCTCTCTGTACCCCCTCCCTCCTCTCACACCCCACCTACCTTGAGAAATCATTTCATGCATTACCAGCTTGTCACCCCGAGGCTGCTGTCCATTTTTGAAATAAAGGTTCGTCGGCTGCCCATGTCACACGCAGCCTCGTCCTCAATCTTGAGAAAAAATAAACTCTTGTGTGCCCGTGTTTTTGCGTTCTGTGTATGCGCGCGCGCGCATAGTTTTTCCTTCTGGCTGGGTGTGTTGTTAACTGGTGTTCCCTGTTGTTTTCTTTGCAACCCCCACCAAGGGCTTGGAAGAAGGAAAACGAAGCGCATTGGTGTGTCTCTGTGAAGTTTGAAGTTTGCAAAGGGCAAGAAACTGGTGGTTGCGGGCGTAGAAGAGCGAAGCCTGAAGGCAAGGCGGTTGCGGGAGTAGAAGAGCAAAGCCTGAAGGCAAGGCGAGGTTGGGCAGGCCGACAAGAGGTCTTGCCACCCTCCCGCATGGTGAGCCTGGCGCCATCACCCACTCCCTCCTTACCCCCTTTCCCTCTCCTCCCCCGTCACGCACACAGAAAACTGTTCTCGGCAGCGCAGGGCCTACGCAGAAGCGATCTGATCCGGCCCCCCCCGTGTGGGTAAGCGGTGTCGTTGCTTTCGCTGCCTTCTACCGCCCAGGTTTCCCATCTAACTTGCCTGCTCATCTGGTGTTGGGGGGAGCGTCCCATGGATATTAGGCCCAGCAAGTGCGGGTACTTAAGCTTGTGCTGTGGAACCTCATCAGTGCACGCAGGGTCTGCAGATGATTTGTGCACTTGTGTTACGTGAAACTGAACTCGAAACCAGAATGGTTATTTGTAGCAAAGCTGCCTCAGGTTGTCTTGGGCTAACCACTATGAGGTTTTTTTTTTTTGTCATGATGAGGTGGTTAGCTGCGTCAGGGGTTAATAACATGCAGCACTTTATTATTTTTTTCTGCATGTAGTAGACACTTTGAAGTGGAGATCTTGGAAGCGGTGCTAACCTTGGTAGGTGCCAAAACTCTACACCTTATGCACCTTATCGCCAAAAATCTGCACGTTATGCGGAACTTTGTGAATTGGTGTGCGTTGTATGACAGGCCCTTAAAAGTGACATGCACAGCAATATCTTCAACATCTGTCATTACCCTGATTGTACTCGAACATTTCACCATTAATTAAGCATTAGGAAACTGCACTGATAAGGTTCCATTGCATCAGCTATGGGTGTTGAGGGAATTCCAATGAGTGACTCAACTTGAACAGTGGTTGAGAGACCGTGGTACGAAATGTGATGCTGAACGGAAGGGCTTGTGTTACTAGCACACCTGGTCTATGTTCGTTTTAGCACTGAATACATTTGGATGAATTGCAGAGCCATGTTTGTATAGATACACTGGCAGACTTATCATTTAGGGTTACATTTACCATGATTTGTAGCATTGCTGGCACAAAGGTTGGGCTATTGCGGCACTTGCTTTTCTTTTTGTCAGGAAGTAACTTTCTGGGAAAAGCAATGTTTTATTCAGGAAAAGTAGCATTTGCTAGCGTGAATTATTGTGAAGCATGTGGCAATATTGTATGCAACTTAAGAATGTTGTGTTGAATTGAGTTCAAGCTGCTCCAAATAATGGTCCAAAATAGTGCCGTGGTTTTGGCAAGTAGCACCGTTGGATTCTATGTAAAGCTGCTCCTGAGAGTCTTATTTCTACAGTGGCAGGTTAGACAGCTCGTTGTACCTTTGCTTTCACTTCGCCGGAACTGCTTGATTGCATGTGACTCGAAGGTTCTATGACTGCAAGGAGATTAGGCTGCAGAGTCTGTTGTCAATGCATCCAGTGTTAATTCATATTTGTAGTCAATTTGACATGCCATATTTTAGTTGCTTGGTTCTTTAGCATGGAAGCTACACCAGGTAAAGCTAACTAGCTGCAAGTAATAGTTCATATATAGCTTTTCTTCTTCCTGACTGACATCCAATACAGAGGTCAAGTAATAATCTAAACATCTGAGGTTGCACATTATAGTTCTTGTTGTTTGGGTACATTCGTAGTGGTAGGAGTGTTTTCTGTTGGTATGGCACCTTTGCCTCTACTTTTGTGTGCAAACCATGGCAGGTGGTATTTAGTTGAATGTCATGTTTTAGGTAAGGGCTATAGTGTCAGCTGATTGGCGGCTGGGAAGAGTTTTCTGATGTGTTCAGTAATTGTGTTCCATGTCTGATCAGATGAAACTGATTTGGGTTAAGATGAATGTTACGTAGCGCCAGTTTCTAGCTTATAAACGCTGTTCAGTGGTTATGTTGCAGATCGGAGTATCAATATTTCGCAACTTCGAAGAGTGCTTATAGAAGTGCTGCAAGGCCCAACTCGTGTTGTTCGCATACTACAGCAAATTGTTGATAGCTTGTCATAGCTTTTTAGCAGGCTACGTATAGAGGTGGCGGGCCTGCTCTTTCAGAACTCGTGAGCTGACACGCAAGCTTTATTTGGGATACAGGTTCATTACCTAGTCTGTTGGTAGGAGAACGGATTCTAAAATTTTCAATAGGTCCATCAGTTCAGCTACAGGCCTTCAGTGCTAAGCTTTGCGGTTAGTTCGCAGCATGAAGCTTGGGAAATGGAAAGAAAAGCTTCGCTTGCACCCTGTCCCTGTGGACCACCCAGGGCCTGTATGGGTCAACTCCGGCCAGACCAAGCTTTGACGGCACGAGTGTGTGGTAAGACACGGGCAGGGGATCACCGCATCACAACCACCGGGTTCGCAGGGAAAACTACAGCAGCGAGAAACATATCCTGTCTGCATAAAGGCTGGAATCCGGCTTTGCTGCAATAAGTGGCCGCTTCCTCTGGCCAGAAGTGTTCCGGATATTTTTCACTGAAATTATGTGCTTCTGTGTGCACTGGCATCGGCCAGTTGGTTACAGTGACAAGTCTGCATTGCATATACTAAGGGTATGTTGCTTTTGCTGTTACATATAACGCTACTGCAGAAGTGAGGGACTGGATGACTGAAATGATACTAAAACCTAGCAGAACAAGTTATTTTTGTTCGGCCATTCTTTAAATATACAGCTGTATCGACTAGCCCAGAGTAGTGCATTTAAGTGTAGTAGATTATTGCATGGCAGATTTACTTTGTTACAATTCGAAATTCTTATAGAAGTCTGTTGATAACCATGCAGCACTGACAGCATTGCAGATTAAATTTCATATTCTGAAGAAAATCGGAGAAGAAACCACACTGCATGTGTTGGCGACTAGATAGAGTGGGATATAAAACAAATATTCAAAGCTTTTGTGACATGACATAATTATGGCTGTATATGCTGACATATTTTATGTTGTGATGGACATGGCCTTACAGTCATGGCGGCTAGGTTAACTTCCATAGCCAGTACAGTTTCACATGACACACAGTTACTGGAGCTGGAACAGTGATTGTTCTTCCATACGACCGGTAGTTCTTACCTGCACTGGTGTGATCTCTGTGGTTTATGTTCATGCTACTTTACGGAATCGATAAATTGCAATCAGTCAAGTCCTAAAACTGCTAATGTACGAGTTTGCAGGTAAACTGTTGCGCTTCCTAAAAATATTTGGGCCAAATGAAAAAAAAAAAACGAACGAGTGTACAGTGCTCAGATTGTGAAGAAACACCTCTTGCAGTATGACAAATACACGGAATCATTTTGGGTAGCTAAACGAAGTGGTTACAAAAGTGGCCTTTACGAACTGATCAATAAGGTGCTTGGGGGGGGGGGGGGTGGATAATATTGCCCTCGTATGACGAGAACTGACGATTATGGAACTGAGGTACATGCGTCACATTATCCTCGGTTGTTTTTTAATCCATGGGCACATAGTACTTTGCTAGTTTCATGCTTACTTGACTATGTTAAGTGCACCCAGCAGCATCACCTGCAAGGGAATAGTTAGTTAAGCGTTGGTGGTAGGTTAAAAGTCCTTAAAGAGTGTTGAACTTGTAGAGTGCTAGTTCTTTATAAATCACTTGAAATAACTGAGGTATAGCCAAGAGTCGCTATTTGGAGTCCATGGTTATAGCTATTTGTTGCCATGCATTCAATCCAGGTTGCAATAAAGATACCATAAAAGTGTCGGCAGAGCGACACAGGTAAGTACAACTGCTGGGCACTGCATAGAAGACTGGAGCAGTTTGTTCAGCAGAAGAATCATTCAAACAAGCCTTGTCTCTTGCTGAAAGTTTGTTTTATTGGGAGTTTCAGTCCATACAATGCGAATACGTTGGACTGCAATGCTCCGAGCTCGTAACCTGCAATAAAAGGTATTTCTTTTCAACGCAACACAGTGCGTGGTTCATGTGTGCACTTGGAAACGCCGGCTGACAGGTATCACCTGCTCACTTTGGCAATCGGGTGCTATAACTACTGCCGTTAAAACGTCTGTTAGCTCCAACACTACACATGAATTCAAGTAGTTAGGGGAAATGCAATTAGGAACAAAGTTGCGTTAATCTGTAGCCTAGGGCACCGAAATTGCTGCCAGCATGGACTTTTATGCTGATGTGAAACATGCAATTACTTTTCTAGTAGGTTGCACAGTTTCGTTTTGTGCCTTTACAATGTGTAAAATGTAGTTCGTTTTGGACACTTTTTGTTTCCAAACTGACTAGCCATTGTGACCGCCACAAAAATAAGCATTACCATAGGTCAAAGCTTAAAAGGCACTCTGCTGCAACCACAGTGAACAGTTGAAAGTTGTGTGCAAAAAAAAAGTGCGCCTCTGTTGCCTCTAGTGACGACAAGAAAGGATACACCCATAGTTTCCTAAAATGAATTAGAGAGGGCTCTGGCGCTGCTTTCGTTCAGCGACCATGGGAATGATGGGTAGTACTCATTTGCCTAGTCTTCGTACTTGCGGGTGGCGAATCGTACTTGCAGCTTCGTTTATTGCTGGTTACGGTTTTCTTTTGAAGGAAAAGAAAGAACCCTTTTGAACTTTGCGACTCGATTCAAAATGGTAAGCCTTAAAAAATTAGGTTGGGAAGCGCAAACGCTGAACATTTGATAACTTTTTTTTTTGTGTGTGAAAAAACACCTCCAAGTCACACGAACACGCATGCAGCCAGAAGCACGGCAGAAGTACAAAAAATTGACAAATGTGTGTGTGCTACCCATCATTAACATGCTCCTGAAGCGCTGTGCGTTGCA